GATTTTTTATTTACAAATACAGAGTGGGACTTTTATTGTTGGAAATTATGCTTTGGAACCCAGTACAGACTTAAAAACAGAAACTTTCTGTGGCAGCAATTCCCATTATAGGAGGCTCCTCGTTTCCCTAGGAAGTTCCCTCTTCCCGAAGATACATAGAATGTACAGCTATTGTATACACAGAGCCATTTTAGAAACTAGCTGAGAAACCCCTGCACATCAAGCAAATGAGAAAATACCCACATGGAAACAGGTAGCACAGGCTAGCGGGAACCCTCAACTCCCAGCTGTGGAAACACAGCATACCAAAACTTATGAGATGCAGCAAAAGCAGGAAAGTTTATACTGATAAACACCTACATTAAGGAAAAAGAAAGATCTGAGATAAACAACCTAACTTTATACCTCAAGGAACTAGAAAAAGAAGAACAAACTAAGCCCAACATTACCAGAAGGAAGGAAATAACAAAGATCAGAGCAGAAATAAATGAAACAGAGACCAGAAAAAAACAATAGAAAATATCAACAAAACTGAGAGCTTGTTTTTGAAAAGGTAGAAAAAGGACTAGTCTTTAGCTAGAGTAAGAAAAAAATGAGAGAAGACTCAAGTAAATTAAATTATAAACGAAAGAGGAGATATTACAACTGACACTACAGAAATACAAAGGATCATAAGAGACCACAATGAATAATAATAGGCCAAGAAATTGGATAACCTGGAAGAAATGGATAAATTCCTAGAAACATATATCCTGCCAAGACTGAGACATTAAAAAATAGAAAATCTGAACAGCACCAATAATGAATAAGGAGATTTAATCAGTAATTAAAAAAAAAAATTTTTTTAAACCTCTCGACAAAGTAAAGCCCAGGACTAGATGGTTTCACTACTGAATTCTTCCAAATATTTAAAGAAGAATTTTATTTTGTCAACTAGATCTCAATAAAGCTGAAAAAACCTTTTTATTTCTAAAATTGTATAGAATCAACATTCAGTTGAGTTTCTTGGTAACATTTGTTCCATTTAGAAGAGGTTGAAACATTGGAATTAACCCAGATCCTGCATTCTTGTTTCTTTAATAAGTTAAAGCATTCAATTATATTAATAACTGATATTCTAAATTTAATAATAGCAGATATAATTTTTTAAAATATCAAGTTTTTATTTACAAAATCAATAATTTCCTACCAAGAAATCATTCAATCCTTTAAATAATTTCCTACTAAAAAATCAATCATTCAATCATTTCCTCACAAAGGAATTACTGTTATCAAATAATTAGCAATTAATATCCATTAATATTAAAACACATTGTAGACTTCTAAATAATATTTTATAAAAATTCCAGTTTTGGGGTTTCCCTGGTGGTGCTATGGTTAAGAATCCGCCTGCCAATGCAGGTGTCACTGGTTCGAGCCCTGGTCTGGGAAGATCCCACATGCCGCGGAGCAAGTAAGCCCGTGCACCACAACTACTGAGCCTGCACTCTAGAGCCCGCGAGCCACAACTACTGAAGTCCGCGCGCCTAGAGCCCGTGCTCCGCAACAAGAGAAGCCACCGCGATGAGAAGCCCACGCACCACAATGAAGAGTAGCCCTCGCTCACCACAACTAAAAGAAAGCCCATGCGCAGCACCGAGGACCCAACACAGTCAAAAATAAAATAAATAAATAAATTTAAATAAATAAAAATTCCAGTTTTTTCTTCTCCTTCAAGGAACATCTTTACAATTACCCACTTACGTTAAATGCCCATTTAAAATATTTTTTGAATTCTATACCACAGTAAGAAAGAGGTGTTCACATTGAAAGCATTTAAAACACCAGAGAAATCAATGAAGTATTTATAAAGAACATATGTACTAATAATTAGTAGGCTTTAAACAGTTACCACGTATAAGACACTAACCGAAGCTCATTTTATTCTCACAAGAACTCTATGATGTAGGTACTGTTTGTTATTGCCCCATTTCACTGAAGAGGAAACTCAAGAAAGATTAAATAATCAAGTTCCCAAACTCACAGCTAGTAAGTGGTAGAGACAGATGGGAAATCCAGTCTGAGAGTAGAGTCTGTGCTTTTAATCTCCATACTTTGATGGCCTCTGTTAATGCTTTATTAGATTTTTTTCTTAATCCCCAGAACGATTATAAAATTGAAATGCTCTCTTATAAATTAGATTTTGTTTCTTTAATGGTTTACCAAATAGAAGATATTTATAATTTTCTCAGGAAACTGAGAATTTTTTTTCCAGTTGAAATTCATCCAACGGAAGTTTGATACATCAGGTACCCCTATGGATTTCTTAAAGTAGCTGTACGTATTTACTGAGGACTAGACTTGAAAGTACTAGATCTCAGAGATTGCTTTGGGAATGTGAGAAAGTCATTATTTGCTGGCTCACCAGTAATTTATTTTGAATTTATTAAATTCATTGATGTGTGAACTGGTTATCAAAGCTTGATAAACAGCTTATAAATCACTTTGAAGTTGGCAGAAATAAATATAATGAGCCAATTTTCAAGGAATTTAAAGTCAGTTTCTCCTCTGTCACCATAAGTTAAAAAGAATGTCTCAGTTGTTTTATTTGGAAAAGAATCTACAATTTATTAGTAATAATTGATGTTTTTCAAGATAGTTAAGGACCATTTATTAAATGAAATAGAATTATTTGCTTAAAGGAAAGAATGCTCTTTGAAAATCCACCAAGGAGCTTCATATGACAAAAATGTTGTTTAAAATTTATTTATAGAATGCAAGCATGACGATGATTCTAATCATTTATAATACTAAAGTAACCTGCTTCACCGAGGTTTGCTCAGGGCTGGTCCCAGAATATGGAAAGAATAAAGCAAGCTTCTCAGGTACCAAGTACCTACGAATGTCAGAGCCTTACCTTGTGTCACTTAAACCATCACTTCCTTCTTCACACAGGACAAAACAGACTCAGAGGGTTTTAGTAGCTTGTTCAGACCACATGACTAATGAGTAGGAAACTCAGGAGTCGAAACATGTCTATCTAACTACAAACCTGTGTTAGTTTAGCCTTTGGAATAGAAAAAGTAGATATTTTTCTATGTGATAAATTTTAAGGATACAAAAAGGCCCTCCTGGGGCTTCCCTGGTGGTGCAGCGGTTGAGAGTCTGCCTGCCGATGCAGGGGACACGGGTTCAGGCCCCGGTCCGGGAAGATCCCACATGCCGCGGAGCGGCTAGGCCCGTGAGCCATGGCTGCTGAGCCTGCGCGTCCAGAGCCTGTGCTCCGCAATGGGAGAGGCCACAACAGTGAGACGCCCGCATAACGCAAAAAAAAAAAAAAAAAAAAAAAAA